TTCATTCATACGCAATTCACTGGGTTTGATCACAAGACTTCATTCATATACACTACAAAAAAATAGTGTTTACCGACGGACACAATCCGTCACTATCCAATGAAAATCCGTCACTAATCATGATTAGTAAGCTCTTAGTGACGAAAAAATGAGTTTCGTCACAAGTGTAGCGACGTCATAATGACGAAACATTTTTGTCGCCATATGTAAGCGACGGACTTAGTCGCCATTATATTTATATAATTTTATTGCTAATTTCATAATTCTAAGATGAAAAAATGAGTTCCTTCACAAGTTTAGCGACGTGATAGTGACGAAAGATTTTCGTTGCCACTTGTTAGCAATAGACTGATTTGTCATTATATTAATATAGTTTTGTTGCTAATTTCCTAATTCATTTCGTCAATTTGGATAAATTTGCAACGAAATTTTCGTCACAACATATTCTGTTACAACATATTAGGCCTTTAATAATTCGTCGCTAATCCGTCGCCAACATTCTTTTCATAGCAACGACCAAATAGTCGCTAAATTTGTTGCTAAAAATTATTTGATTTGGTTATTTTAAATATGCACTGCTGAAATAAATTAAATTAAAATTACTAAATACTCTAAAAATAACAAACATTCATATAATATAATACTCATAGACGATTCATATTATATAAATAGAAAACTCCAAAACCACATATTTTTGGTTAAAAATATCCAAAGAAACCTATCAAGTACTCTTAAATAAACTTACGTTCATCAAAACGTTACTACGCAATTTGTAGTTTCCAAAATGTATGACATTACCAAAAACTAAAGTTGTGGGAGACTAAGGGATACGATCATCACTTGAAATTGAGGGATCAACCTCGCCCACATTAGTAGCAAGAGGCACTATGGATGTCACAATCGATGGATTCCCAGATGAAGTAAGTGATGCTTGCACCTGCCCAACAATAATAGGAACAAGATGACTAGTTAGTACATGCATCATTTGCTTTACAAACTCGTCCATATTTGTTATCGATGTTGATTGAGAAAATGGAGGTGGTAATGATGATGAGCCACAAAGATTCTGCCCATAGTAATTTTTTGCTTCAGATCCAAGACCGTATATTCTTCTTTTCTTTTCTCCCCCGCAGCTTGGTAATATGCTTCACGTTGAGCAATATCAGTTTGAGACACTGTGTTTTCCCGTAATATTTCTTCATATTTTTCCTATAATAAGTAGAGAAAATGAGAAAGCATTAAAGAAAGGGAACAAAACAAATTTTGAAGGAAAATGTAGAAAGATACATAAGCTTTTAAGCTTAAAGGACATGTGTTTTGTTTTCCCAGGAAAGAACTGTGTTGTTGCAGAAAGATAACTGATAATGCATTTTCCTTGCATAATATGAAACATAAAACAAAAGGCATCACTCCAACGTTGGTACGAATCTTTTTGAAACTGGCCCTACTTCTTTGTCCTCATTGATATGTATTCCATCATTAAAGCAATATAATTAATTAAACTAAAATAAATTACAGTCCACTATCACTGGCCTTTGTACTGTAATTTCCCTGATTAGTCAGTTATCTGGTTTCCATATGCATATAATACTCTAGTGCATTGTATTAGTAGATAATTGTTGCAAGGAAAATGCAATGAAAGAAGGACTGTGCAACTTATATTAGCTAGTCTATGAAGTGTTGTTTATAAGTTGTAGTAATTAACTTAGACCTACAATTTTGAACTCGTTTAAATTGCAGAATAAAGATCATACTTGAACTCACACAGAACTTTAAAACAAACTAATTTCTATTACCCAAACAGCATCAGAAACACTCGAAAATTACCCAACCAACATTAGAATTACATGAAAACAAATGCACTAGATTCACACTAAAATGACATTACAATCGCACCAAAACAACACTAAAATTGCACCAGAAAAGCCTCAAACAGCACATGAATTACACTGAAACAGCAACAATGGATTCTCACTAAAACAGGACTAGAGTTGCACCAAAAACAACTGCACTAGAGTCACAGCAAAACAACACTAGAATCACACCAAAACAACACTAAAATTGCACCGGAAAAGCCTCAAAACAGCAATCGAATTACACCAAAACAGTAGCAATAGATTCTCTCCAAAACAGAACTATAATTGCACCAAAAACAACTGCACTAGAGTCACACAAAAATGACACTAGAATCGCATCAAAACAACACTAAAATTGCATCGAAAAGTCTCAAAACATCACCAGAATTATACCAAACAACAGCAACAGATACACTTTAAAACAAAACTAAAACTGCACTAGAAACTACAGTAGGAAAGAACCGAAACAACTCCAAGTTTTAGACTTACATGGACAATTCGAGAATGCTCATCAACAAATGATTTTCCATTATGACCATGTGTATGAACATGCAAATGTAATTCAATTGGTGTTGGATCTCGACCTTTTTCAATATCCTATACAAAAGAAATAACGTTATATATATCATACAATAGAAGATGTTAGTTATAGAGTTTGTAAAATATATATACTCACAAGTTTCCTGCGATGTTCTCCAATTGAAATAGAGCCGCCTGTGTGAGTCCCAACAGCAGTTTAATGGCCGCCACGATGATTTTTTGAATTAATTTCTGACTTTTTTATACACTTTTCACTTCCCCAAAGTTGCATCCATCTTTCCCACACATTTTCTGGTACATAACCTTGCCTAACTCCTTCTTTTTTTATTTTAGAAATGAAATTCCTGTATTTTAGTGTTGCCTTAACCATCTAGTGTCTTTTCACTTCGTTTTCACTAATGGAAACATCCCAGTAAAATTTTTTCTGAAATAAGTTTTGAAAGTAATACATTAATGTCCTATCTATATATGTGAATACACTTGCTAAACTCACTTACGATGAAAAGTTATACCTTGAATTCTCCAAAATAACCATTTCTTACATCAGTTGAGACACCTTTCCAATTGATTCCATTGGGATCAACATCACTTTTGAAAGACTTGGATATGAAACTAGAGCATATTTAAAAAGGTTCCAGCCTGTATAAATAAAATATACAAGTAGTAAAATAGAAAAATAAACATTTTTTAGCACATTCAACAGACAAGAGGTCATGTTCTCTAGATTAAATATTATGCTTAAAGGACCAGAAGTTGGTAATGTGATAGTGAAATCCTATCCAAATATCTTCAATTTGTTCAATGTAGTAAGTAGAAACAAGTTTAGGAATAAAATCAAAAGAATGGACTAACCCTGCAGAAGTTAGAAAGACAAGGGTCCTTGTATGGCTACTGTTGGATTCACATTCAGCAACTGTACTGGTATGACCTGTTGAGTTGCTCTGAGTAGAAAACGCTGACCTATTAGGTTACTCTGATTTGATGTAGCTGGAGGTGTCTCAGAGATGGTTGGGCTGATACTTTGAGTTGACGTATTGGTTGGGGTACCACCTTGCTGAGGAGAAACTATAGTGGGCTTGGGAATAGTTGGCATGCTTACACGAATAGCAGGATTACTCATACCTGAGGATTTTCCACGACCTCTGCCTCGAGCCATACCTATAAACAAATATAACATTGTTGTTAGATCATGACAGATACAAAATAAAATTAAACATAATCCATAATCCATAGTATTGAGATTACGTGGAACAATGCTGAAATATTAAAACTGTCTCTGTAAGAGCTTGTTGATCAAGTGAAAAAATTGGTACCTGGAAATACAAGAGTAACAAGAGTAACATAGCTATCTATAACAAGAGTAACAAGAGTAAAGGGATCATGAACTTTTATCAGAAGCTTTACACAAAGAATGAGCATTAGAAATCTATAACATATTTTGAAAATTTGGACACAATCACAGGGGAGAAGCCTATTAAGAGGCTTGAATTTTCAATACCATCATATCATGTGCTTCTGATCAGGCTCCAGAACTTGATTGTTACACAATCACAGTCAAGTAATGTCATTCATTTAAAAGAAATGATCTATTGAGCTCAAGAATTTACATAACAATAAGTCTCCCAAAGAGCTTACTTGTTTGAGCACTTCTTTATAAGGCATAAATATTAACTATTAGTAATTATAAGAATGCATAGTTAATTGGTATGTATGATAGTTATTAAAGCTACAATTAGTAGATTTAATTAGGAATTGAAATTAGAAATAGAACACACATAGCTCAAAGCCAAAAGCTATTTCTTTTTGAGATGTCAAATGCTTCCACGTCTGTCTCCCACAAAAAAGTCAATTCCTTTATTAGAGGCTGCAAATAAACATCAATTTTATGTTTGGGATTGTTTGGCCCAGAACAATGACTATTAAGAACATATAAGCTTCTTTCATTCCTGGAGGTAAATTATAAGGTGTGACAATCATTAGCCATGAAGAGTATTTGCTCCCAGACTGACTAAATGGTTGGAAACCATCAGTACATAACCCCAACCTTATTTTTCTTGGTTCATCAGCAAATAAAGGATGAGTGTCATTAAAGTGCTTCCAAGCCTCAGAGTCTGATGGATGATGCATTACACCATCCTCTTTTGTATGCTCATGATGCCATCTCATGTCGGCAGTTGTAGCATGGGATGCATATAATCTTTGCAATCTAGGAATCAAAGGAAAATAATACATTTTCTTGTAAGGGATCAATTTCCTCTTACGAGAGCCAATACGATGCTTGTATCTATCATGGCCACAAAATGTACAAGATGTAAGGTGTTCATCATCACCCCAATACAACATACATCCTAATTCACAACAATCAATCTTTTCAACTAGCAAACCCAAGCTACGCACTAGCTTCTTGGTCTGATAGTAGCTATCAAGCACTATGTTATCTTCAAGTAAAGCCTCTTTCAACAATTGCATCATTTGTTTATAACCTCTCTGTGACATATTGTTCTCCATTTTAATATTTAACATTCGAGAGACGATAGCAAGTTGAGAGAGGGAAGAACCGGGATATAATTTTGCATCAGCTGCTTGTAGCAAATCATATAATTTTTAGGACTCGGGATTAGGATCTTCCTCCATTGAAGGTTCACAAGGATGAGACGACTCAGGTTCAATATTGCTGAAAGATTGCCAACTTGAACCTTGGGGAAAGTTAGGACCAACTGCATCAAAAATCATTTGACGGTATGGATTATCATATCCTAATTCATGTGTTGCACCACCATTCAAATCCTGATCAGAAGAAATCTCACCAAAACATCTTTTTCTCCTTGATGCTTCCAGATAAAATAGTTATCAACAAATCCAGACTTATAAAGGTGATGCTTAATCGTTTCAACATCCATGAACTTAAAGTTGTGACATTTTTTACATGGACATCTAACTTTATTACCGCTCATGTGATTCTGTTGCGAACATGCAAATTGGATAAATTTATCCACTCCAATTACGAAACTAGAATTTATAGCCCCTCAGCCATCCAACCTATCATACATCCAACCACGCTCTAGATTATTCATGTTCCTAATAATGTTTAAATTTACAAAAAAAATTAGTAACAAGCACAAACCGTGGACTAGAAGGTACTCTTATTCATATTCATCAAATTCAAACAAAACATGCATATTGGCAAAACAAGACCAATTTCTAAAGTTCTTCACTATGCAGACTTTAAAAAACCTTACTAACTATTAAAGCAATTATTAATTATAATCAACTTACAAAACAGTTGCTAGAACATTCTAATTTTAGTCAACTTATAGAACAATTAAAGCATTCTAATTCAAATCAACTTACTGAAGCATTCTAGTTACAGTGAGCTTATTGAAACTATCTAATTACTATATTAATCTCACAAAATTGATGACAAACAAAATGGATTGAAGCATTACAATTAATTTACAGTACAAACAACACTTTTCAATGTGTGAAAAACTAGAGCAAGAAAAGAATTTGGAGCCAATACTACATTTCATCAGCAACAAATAGAAGCACATTACATGAAAAACTTTCTACTGAACAAGCAGTTAGCTAATAAATTTAATCTTAGAGGTTCTTGTTGACTATGTAGTTGCTTTGATTTGATTTGGTTAATAATTTAATCTACTGAACAAGCAGTTGGCAAGAATTTTTATTTCGAAAAGACAATTTTTAAGAAAATCACATGACTTTCCTCTATAAGTACAACAATTCCTCTAGCAAATAAAACCAAAGAAAACGTTAAAGTCTAGAATGCATTTAGCAAATAAAATCAACAAACAAGTTAAAATTTAGAATGTATTCCTCCAGCAAGAACTAATCACAGAAACACCCACAACAACAGAATAAGAATTCTCCAAACTTTTCACTAATCTCTTAAACAAAAAGCTCTAACTCGAATAGTCTCAAGATAATGGCAACAATCTTCATCATAGTTAGATTGAGTAAACAAAATACCTCGGAACTTAAATCTTGAGCTAAATCAGAGATAGAAATGAAGAGTGAGGCTTACTTCAAGCGAATATCAACCAGACCCTGATGATGATGTTATAACAGGAGGGGCCTGCAACATTTTAACATTTCATTACCTTGGTTATTAGCAAGAACATGGAACAATAACAATATAAATAAAAACTAAACACTTAATACAATAGGCAATGAATCTGATTTTTGTTTTGTTTTCTGAAAAAACAGGCAGAGATAGAGAACTTCAGCAAGCATCAGCATGAGATAATTACTCAATCTCTTCAATCAGAGAAGTACTTGAAAGTTCAGAAGATTCAAGGCAACTCTCAATAGGTACGTCATACTAAAACTATTCTCAATAGGTACGTCGTACTAATATAATTACCTTCTCTTTATTAACCTCATGACATTCCCCCATATTATTTAGGATGGAAACAAAGAAAGGAATTACTACAGAGATCTTCAAGGGACTCTTGCCAAAAGTGTATCAGTGAGCCAATTTCTGGGCAATACAGTAGCTCAGACTTTAGATAACAATTATATTCATGAATCCCATCTAATTAGGTGAGCCAATATAAAAAATAATTGTTTTGTTTAAAACTAACAAGGTACCATTGAGGCAGCAAGAATTAATTTCTACTCTCATTGATAATTGTGGAACCCAAAGTCAATGACCATTTCAACATTGAAATCCAAATGCTTGCTTGAACCCTAATCCCTATTTCTAGAAAACATAATTTCTAGAAAAAACCCTATTTTCGAAACACTTAAATTTTTAAAACTGCTATTTTGAGAAAATCCCAATCCTACTTCAAGTAATCAAGCTAAATGAAATGGAAAGAGTTAAGAGTTAAAATAGCATATTTTCATACACCCAAAACACTAAAATCTCTATTTTCAGAAGACGAGTTGAATTGGAAAACAATGTTTTTGTCAACTGAAGCCATTGATACTCAAATCCAACGAATCTAACATCCAAATGCAGGAACGAGTTGGGGTTCTTATCTTGCAGAAAGAAGAGTTGAAACTACCCATTTTGAAAATAGCACAGCCCTATTGAGATGGAGAGCTAAACGAAATTGAAATTGAGATGAGAGATTGAGCTTACAGTGGAGACTTGGAAAGGAGATGAAAAACTTCAATGGAGCTTGAAGTGAGACTTGGAAAGCTTCAATGGAGATGGAGCTTGAGAGAGGCTTCTTTGGAGCGGGAGCTTGAAATGTTGAAATAAATTTGTGCCCTAGAATATAATATGACTTTAAAAAATTTCGCAACCGCTTTCAAATTAATGTATTTATTTAGAAAAAATTATAATGACGGATTTTTTCCTTACTATATAATTTAAATTTTATAAAAATATATTAAAAAGTTTAGCAACCTTTTTTCCGTCACTAATTCCGTTGCCCAATATTTATTAAATTTATCACCCGTACTTTATTACTAAATCCGTAGGAAAAATTATGCGCGAAAATTTTGCACTAATATTTAGCGACAAAATAAATATTCCGTTGCTAATCCGTCGCTATATTATTACTCAAAAAATTATTTGTCAATTTTGCAACAAAATGGTAATTCCGTTGCAAATCCGTCGTTATATAGTGACGGAATAGTGTGTGTCGCTAATATCCGTCGCTAAACGCTGTTTTTTTAGTAGTGATACATACATGCATTACAATGAAGCAATTACCAACATCCATCACGTAAAATATGAAATCAAACCATCACCTACCTCGAAAACAAGCTTGAATCCCCTAAGGCACTTGAATTTCCCTTTCCGAATTATTTCCGCTTGTTCTAGGTCTACAAATAATTAATTTACGCAAGGATCAATAATCAAAGGTCTAATTATCCGGATTATAACAAACTCAATAACCCAAGACCAAACCCATGATCCCAAGGTGCAGCTAGGGCTTTTTCTCACTATCAATTTCAATCCAAAACCATTCCCCAATAATATTTAACCAAGAATCTAAGTTCTACGGATCGAAAAATGGATTAAGGGAGTAAAATCCTTACCTTTAGCACCAAAAGTTGTGGAAAACTGTCAAGAAGTCGCCTAGGGTCGTCTTTTTTTCTGACACAATTTCTTTCCCCAATGACTTTTCTATAACGACGGGAACAAGTCGTTACAAACGACCTGTTTCCTTCATTATGGAAAAGCCAATGGGGAAGGAATTTGGGCCAGAAAACTTCTGAGTAGTAACTTGGAAATTTCTAGCATAGGCCAGACTTGGATAAAATCTGAGCCAGGTGAGTTCTAGGGCAATCTGGTAATGGATGGGAGATTTAATTATGAATTTTATCACATGAGTGGATAGCCAAGACGTTAAGGAGCCTTTACGGCTTTACAAAATCAAATTCGGGAGAGTAGAACTACCGAAACTGATCTTGGCATGAAAGAGTAGTTTTAGAATGTTCAGGTATCAAGGAGTGTTGTGAAATGGGAGCTTAGAACTCAAATTCCAAGCTTCTGTCTCCGTGCAAGCCGCTAGGGCGGGGCCTCTGTGGCGGGATGGGGTCTGCGGTGGGCAGTCACGACTTAAGTCGAAAAAACCCCTAATTTCGTTATTTTCTGCAAAACTTCGTTCTTAAGAGCTAAGGGACGATCCAAGGCAGTTTTTGATAGATTTCCACAACTTCTAGTGTTAAAGGTAACTCCCCTAATCCGTATTTTGATTCTTAGAAATTAGAATCTTGAGTAATTATCGTTGGGGAAGAGTTTTGGCTTGAAGTTAATGGTGGAGAAAAGCCATAGCTGAACATTAGGATCATGGGTTTGGCCTTGGATTGATATTTTGATATAATTCGGATAAATTAGGCCTTGTTTATTGATCCTTGCTCTAATTACTTGTTTATAAACCAAGAACAAGCTAAAAGACTTCGAAAAGGGAAGGCTCAAGTGTCTTAGGAGTATTCAGGCTTGGTTTCGAGGTAGGTGATGGTTCGACTTCTTGTGTGATAAATGTTTGTTAATTGTTTCATTGTATGCATGCATGTATATGAATAGGAAATGTGAATCAATCTAATGAAATGATTATGTGGGAACAATTACATGCCATGAACTTAATCTTGATTGTATGATTATGAGCACCGTTCATTATGAGTGTGATTGTGATTGTGGTTGTGCTGACTGGATCGGGTGTCACGTTCCGACACATACATATTGGATGGGGTGTCACGTTCCGACACACTAACAGTTTGAGTGTGAGTTTCATGAGAGGACCACTTGTGATTATTATGTTCATATCTATCTGCCATTGATATTGGGAAATTGTATGTTGCTCCTAAATGATAATTGAATTATGCATTTTGTATATGTATGTTTGCTATGTTGTAATTACTTGCTTATGTTCCGCATACTGGAGTAGTCGTGTGATCCTACCAGTACGATGTGGTTTGTGTACTGATACTGCACTTGCTCATTCTTTGTTGAGTATAGGGCATCTTCAGGCGGCTACTGATAGACCTCAACTAGGGGATCATTGACCGAGACCGGATTTGAGGGTGAGACAGTTCTTTTAGGCTACCATGGATCCTCTATTTGTTTAGTCCATTCCTTTTGGACTCAGACTACATAGTTAGACTTATTCATATGTTTAGTTTTCGGGGTTGTACCCCCATTTTCCTATACTTGTTGATTAGTTTTGGTACGTCTTTCAGTTCTAGGGGTTGAACTTCCGATGATTATGTTAATTGTTTTGTTTAAACCTTCGGAGTTTATGGGAACTCCATCTTTAGTTTGTCATTTAAACCTGCTTATGTATCTTTAAATGATTTAGTTCCTTAAAAATATTTAGTCGGGGTGTAGTAATGGTTCTTCCACCGGAGGGTT